CGCGGCGGGGCGGGCGCCATCGGCTCGCAGCGCCGCTGCCCTGCGCCGGGCCCTGCCCTGCCGCCCCCGCGCCGCGCCCGCCGGCGCCAGCATGTTTGACAGGACGAGGCTGCCGTTCGTGGCGCTGGATGTGCTCTGCGTGCTGCTCGGTAGGTGCCGGGCGCCTCCCGGGGCTCCGCGTTACCGCATGCTCCTCTTCCCTGTCCTGCCGGGCGGCCGCGGCGCCTCCCGCCCCGCTCTGCCCCGCGGCCGCCCCTCTCTGTGTGTGTGTGCGTGTGCGTGCGTGGGCTCCACTGCTGCCTCTCACCGCCCCCGGGGGCAGCCCCGCACCTGGAGGGATCTGGTCACTGCCTGCCGCCCCTCAGGGCACCGGGGCCGCCGCGGGCCGCGCCGCCTCGGGCGGGCTCGCGCCCCGTAGGAAGCGCATGGGCTGCTCCTCCCTTCCTCGGCAGGCTCGCGCAGCGCTGGGCGGCCCAGCGGGGGCTGCCGTGGGGTGGGCGCTCCGGCAGGGTCCTGGCCCCGACGGGAGCCAGGGGAGAGAAGTGCAGGGATCCGAGCTGCAGCTGCCTCGTCACCGAGAGCTAGGAATATAGTCTTCCTTTTCTTTCTCTTCTSTAAGCTAATAGGCTCTTTCTGGCAAGTCCACATCAGGAAGGAAGGTGTTGGTGGTGTTGAGGTCTTGAGACTCATTAATTTTTGATGGTTCAGAAAGCTTTGCCAAGGGAAGCATTGGGAATGGCAGCCCCCATAGAAAGCGTGCTTCATCCTACTGTGATAGCGGCAGAGATGCRCTCTGTGTTACGGAGCAGAGAAGACCCAGCTTAGCTTGAGCTAAACCTTTGAATTGTGTGTGGTCTCCCTGATRCTCGTGTTTTAGGTTGAGATTTGGTGTAAAATGTGGTGTCTGGGTTAGGAGAGCTGTTGGAACCCGCAAAGGCGTGTTCCCTGTGCAGTAGCTGGGACTCCAGTGCAGTGACAGTCCTACCTCGAACCCCTGCAAGAAGCAAAGCTCTGCAAGCGCCTCCTTCCACCAGCCCAGCTAACAGCACGCTGGTAACCTCTCCTCTTTCAGCATCTGTCTCTGTAGGAAGAGCAGGTAATAGTGTGAACTGTTGATTAGTGGTTGGCCCTAGATAGGGATATAGGCTATTCACCCAAGCAGGAGACTTCACGTAAAATGCTGYGACTTGCCTGCACCTCTGGGTCCAGAGTAAAGAGCAGGGGTGACTGCTGCCTGGTGAATCTCAGAGTATTACATGACTTTGGTTTTCAGATGTTTGCTTATCAAACAAGTAGGTGTAACGTTTTCCTGCCTGGCAAACATGATATGGAGATGTTTAGGTTGGTTACTGATCATTCAAACGGCTCTGCTTCCAACTCTCCCCTTGGCCGCAGAGGTCTCTGGCCTCGGCGTGGACACGTGAGCAGCAGTTACCTTGCCGAGGGCGGCGGACGCTCCCGCCTGCGAGTTGCCTCCCTGCAGCTGGCCRGCATTCCAGAACAAATGCCATGCGTGTGGAGTAACGCGCTGATAGCAGTGAGTGGCTRGATGCAGCTTCTAGAGAGCCTGTGTCCTCTTCTCCCTGGGCTGGCTCGCTCCTTACTGCTAGTAGGGGAAAAAGCAGCCAGTGCGTGAAGCTCAGTGACACCTGTGGCTTCAAGCACACTGAATTGCAGCTTGCAGTGAYGCTATAGCCCAGTCAGAATATTTTAATGTAAGAATAGGCTAGACTTCACATGTACGACTAAAATCTTATTTTTCCTACCTTGCACGTGATTGAGCCAAGTCTGTAGAATAATGTGAGGCTTTGTCTAATTTTTTTTTACTATTGTTGTTATTTTTAAGTAAGCTGTAGCCTTATTGTATTTCAAATCTCACTTTTCYTACCTCTTTCAGCTTTGCTATCTGCTTAAGAGACCAAGGCAGCTGCCCAAGTAAAGTGACCTGCAAGCGAAAACTGTATCTAATACCAAATGATTCTACTTTCCTGCTCAGTTGATATAGGTGTGAGCATGAAACTAGTAATCTCAAACTGAAAGAGACAAGCCATAAATTTCTCTGGTTTTCCTACCTTCTTTGGAAAGGATGAATGGAATGATGGCAGRGGTTTTATCATGTATCCTTAGACTGTTGCCTGCCTTACTGTAGGTGTTTAGGACTGTCACCTTATACAACAGTTTAACTGTGTGTTATTCTGATTCTAGGACTTGAGTTCTTATTGATTATTCTACTCTGTCATGTGAAAACTAACTGCTTGCTGGAATAACTGAACTGCTTAGCTTGTGTCAGGTGTCTGCCCCCTCCTTGTATATCTGTTGCCTTACTGGGGAATATGGGTGCCTCTCATTGAAGCAAGTAAGCAAACAGTTTGAAGAACAGAATTGAAAAATCTGTGATGCTTTAGCCTATGTTGAGTGAAAGAACTAAACACATTTCACTTGCACTGAGCTTTCATTAAGACTAAATCAGATTAATGACTTGGAAATCCATGGGATGAATTGGAAAATACAGTTTTTCTCTGAAGTAAGTTCTGTTGGAGTGACTAGAGCAGTGATTAAATACTTGTTATGAAGCTGGACTCCTCCCAACTCAAATCTGGTCTCTTTGTTGCAATTCATCTCCTAGTTTGAGTGGAAGCATGCAACAAAACAGAAGTCTCACAAGGTATAGAAAAGAATAGTGCCTTTTGTTTTGTCTTTTTTTAACACAAATTTAAGTAGTGAAGGAGTGTTTGTCAGTGTTTTGAGTAGTTGCTGGTCTAATGCAAGAATTACTGTGAAGCTGTGTGGTAGGTAAGCAGAGATTTTGTGGCTCCCTCCCTCCTCCCGGTCTGCACTTATCCTGTACTGATGCAAGAAGCAACTCAAAACTTGCCTCCTAACCAGCTGTTCCTCTGTGGTAGAACTGCCTGCTTGGGTCTTCTGGCTCCCTGAACTGCAAATGACACCAGTGCAGAAAAAGCAGAGGAAGGAAAAACTTGCGAGGCTGGTGTGGGAGGTGGGATTGTGGCAGGCCTAACTAACCTCAGTAAGTTCAGATTGGCTGTGAACCCACTTTTGAGGAAGGAAGGGAGAAATTTCAGGCCTCAAAAAAAGAGCCTGTGAAATATGAACTCAGACATATTCAACAATTGGTTAACTAGCTTCAAATATGACCTTGCAGTTTTTTTGTCTGAGAGCAGTGTGTGATACAGGGCAATAGACTAAACAGTCAACRAAGGTGTGTGAAATGGGTAAATCTGCTGGTATCTCTTTCTAGTATGTGATGTGGGAGTGTGAGGAAGCCAGATTGCTTTATATACCTGGGATGAGGCTTTTGTTTTAGATGCTGTTCTTCCTTCAGGAGTGGTGACTGTCTTGGCCACTGAAGGTGACAGTCACCGTGATCTTAGTCCCCCTGCTAAGGCAGTAGTCCTAGTACCAGTATCAAGGCCTGTTCCATGTGGGTTGGTGCTTTCTGACTGTCCTAATTCAGGAACACCCTCCCTTATTGCTTGTGACTCACATGTGCAACTCTCCTTATTTTCCACGTCATGTGGATGCTGATAGCTATGAACTCATGCACTAGGAAGACTAAGTTTCAAGAGGCTCAAGAGCAGCTTGTCCTTAAGTCATGCTGTGTGCCAGGTGCCCCAAGAGGATACTCACTAAGGCTACTCTGAGCCTTTTGGAAGCGCTGTCACCTAGAACAGGAGGTCTTCCCTGTCACACTCTTCTTAAATGCATGGGATTTAGTACTCTTGTTGTAAAATTGTTCCCTTGGCAGCATTCACTTCCCCTTATGGAGAGAGTCTCTGGGTGGAGAATCCCTCAGCTGCCTAGGAAGCTTTTACGGAAAGCTTCAACTGGGGACTTCTGCGCTTAATGGTGTCATGGAGCGAGTGGTGGCGGGGGTGAGTGACAAATCCGTCACAAATGGGCACTGYTCAAAGCTAGCAGGCAGGCCCTCACTTTGCCATGCACTTCTGTCAGTGTGTTCTGTACTCTGGGCAACCCTCATTGCAATAAGAAGCTCTTGCAATGATTCTCATGACAGTAGCCTTGTGTGTGGTGTCCCAAATTTAAGGAGATGGGAAGGAAGGGCCTTCTGACCCCCTCCCTTTTTTTTTTATGTATTACCTCAATGATAATGGCTTATTTCTCAGAGCTGAAGAGGTCTTGCTTTAATCTTGAGGCTGCTTTAGGACTTTCCTGTTCTTACGATGAGCTGACTCAATGGATTGACTTCTAAGTTTCATAGTTTAAACTCTGTCCTGCCAGAAGCATCTTTATTTTTCAATCTGGAAATCATAGTCCTGGCCTAAAGAGTTGAGTAGTTCTGTTAATGCCCAGCCTGGTGCTGCTGAGAAGCCCAAGGAGCAATAGTCGCTATCTGTGATGTGTTTGCAGCCCCATTTGGCAGGAGCGCAAGAGGAGAAGCCAACCTAATGATGAGGGACTTGCTAAACGTTTCAGTCTGCCAAGTGACCTCAYGTAGGTTCGTGTAACTGGTGTGAGCTCATTAGAACTAGTTCAGGAGAACTAAAACAGCAAAGCAAAGTTGGATTGAGTTTTTTTGAGGTGCTGAACAGAATTTAGAAGCTTATTGGCAGAATATGCTACCTGTAGAAATGTGGCTCTAGGTCTGTAGATTAGACATTTATTGGTATAAGTATACATATTGCCAACTCCATTCATGTTTGGTTTTGTCATTTTGGTTTTTTGTCCATTCCCCTCACCCCCATCTCCTAAATGAAGCTCCTCTTTGGAGTTTAATTGAGGAGAACACTTGAATCTTGACAACTGAAAAATGCACAAACACTAGGAATTCAATGTTACTTTAATCAACACACTTTCTAGCACCAAATCATAAGCCTATTAATGAATATGAGAATTAAAGAGTATAGAGGGCTGTGCAGTGACCTTCTGTGAGATGTGGGCCACATTCTATTTTAGAAAGGAAGAGGATGAAGTAAACATGGGCCCTAAAGTCTGTACTATCCCAGTTATGTGACAAAGATTAAATTCAAGTACACATATCCTGAAGAAGTGAGAACATTTGGCCATTTAGATTAAGGGTCTTCTATTTATTTTCTCTTGCTTAATTATAAACTGCTTATGAGTTGACCCAGTTTCTATAATTTTCCTTTCCAGGCTGTGAGACTGATCT